ACGATCGCCGTTCAAATATAATATACACATCCAACAATCCCTATCGTGTTCAACGTGCAAACGTTTTAGATAACGAATCTTTGTGTCTCGGGCCTCTCGGCGCGCGTAATCTTTATTTACGCGTATGTTATCACGAGGGAGGGGAGAACTCCGTCGAAACAATATTTAGTGAACGTATCGCGGATCCGCTGAAACCGCTAGCGCACCATACCGTGTTTTGTAAATCCGAAGTTCAAGTCGTTTCCCATATAGAATCGCTAGTAGTTACAACAAAACTAACGCTTAGCCAACGCTACGACTGTCGACTGACGGTTAACTGTTCTGTCAACTAATACTGGACCATCACTGGTAAATAACTGACTGTTAAATGACGGCCAAAGTTCTGTCAGACAGTACCAGGCCATCACTGGCAAATGACTGGCTAAAATTACTGGGCCAGTACTGTCTGCCGGTACTGGGTCAGAACTCAGTCCATTGTAAAATTCTGCATGGGTTCTCTCAGCGATCACGGTTTCCGCCCGGTTTTCGCCTTCTCGCGAGAGGACGAACCGCGTCAACAAGTTGCCGCGTCGAGTGTCGCACGCGTTGCTTCTCTTCCTCCTCTTCCTTCATCTCGCGTGCGTGTGTGACGCACGCGATGTGTACTTTTTTATCTCCCACAACGGCCTTGCGGACGAACGCGAGTTATATCGAAACTTTGTCGTCGCGCGCCTACGCCTGTTATTGTAAAAAAAATTCCGCGTTACACGCCCATGATGATAACGAGCTATGTCGCGGTAACGCCTGCTGTCTGTTTCTGCCGTTGCTATACACTCGGCGAGTGCTTCGCGGAGAATTCTCACGTGGGCGTCTCGTTTATATAAATCTAGATCACATCCTTAAATCGCCGGTGCCGCGCACCGTGTTTTGCAAATCCCAAGCTCAACTTTGCTTCTCTCATCGAGGCGGGAATTGTAGTTTCCGCCTAATTTTCGCCTCCTTGCGAGTGGACGAACCGCGTCAACAAGTTGTGTCAGAGATTGTCGCTGAATCAATGACTGCGTTTAATAGAACATTTATTTTATAACTGTTGAAATAAGCTTTCTTCGCTAAGATAGGACTACTCTAAATTAGACCTATCTAAAACTTAGCTCGCACAAATCAAGTGCTCTTTCTCTTCTTTGTCTCATTGAAATAGAGAGAAAAAAAGAATAGACGTGTTATAGTTCTGCTCAATAATAAATTAGTGCTTTATTCTGTTTTGTTTTTTATTTATCTTATTCAACAAGACGATGGAGACATAGAAGCGTATAACTCGCGGATAAGTTTTGGACAGCCTTAGAGTCTTAGAACACCAATATATACTGAATCGATTAGTTAAAGACTCTTAATGTCCATTTCTATCAATGCAGATTAATTTAATCTTGATTTTATTTATTCTTTTTTTTTAATTCTTATAATTGGAAAAAGATAAAAAGTAATTAAATCGAAATTAATTTTAATCAGTGAGTATTCAGTGATTTCCTGATATAATTGATTTCTACACTTAGATCCAGCGAAAAACCAATCATATTAAAGAATCATTGAGTGCTCACTGATCAGTTTTTTTGATGAACGTATCATGATGAATCAAATAATTTTTACTTTTTTTAGACAGCCTATAATTGAACACCCTGCAACGAATTTTTGATTTTTTGGTGTTTTCAGAATACATCAGGCTTGTCCAATTTTAGCTCCGGAACCAAAACGCGAAGCTATCGGTGTAAAATTTCAATGCAGATAAGATTTCAGGGATTGTAAAGTATTGACGAGTCGATGGTTTTGTATTTTAGCTCTGGAGCTCAAATTGGACAGGTCTGAGATAGACTCTGTCTATCTTTAGATTTAGAAATATAATTCAATCTCACTGTGAAGAAAATTTCTAACAGTTGAAAAATAAACGGCCAGTGTCTGCGTTCAGCTGAAAAAACAACTTTATAACTGTTGTAAAATTGTTTAATATGATTTATTCATCTAGGTCTAGTAAGAAACAAGGACAAAAGCCAGTCATATTAAAAAACCTTACAACAGTTGCGAAGTTACTTTTTCTGTTGAACGCAGTCTATCTCGAACTTGTCGAACGACTGATGAGGAAGAAACGAGCGAAAAAGAGGAAAAAAGAGCCCACGTGGTCCAGTGGTCACTCTCGGTTAAATTTCCGCCAGGAAACATGGTGTCATCCTATTTTTAGATTCGATCAAGCTTGCTATTTAGTTTCACGCAACAACGCCTCCGATTTTCGTTTTTTTTTTTTTAAATGAATAATTCCGCTGACTCCGCCAAATACCAAATCTTATTGATGATGTAATAAATATAGCGCGCGCCCGAGAGAGAGAGGGGGAGAGAGAGAGAGAGAGAGAGAGAGAGAGAGAGAGAGAGAGAGA